AGTTGAATTTAACAAACAAATCAGACACATATTAGATGATACCAAGTTCCTTATAGTGCTCTTGTTCATTAGGAGACAAAGGGGCAGGATTTGTGCCGGGATCAAAGCAAAGATGATTCTCCATGTTGATGGATGTGATGCTTGGTGCTTTCTCATCAAAGGTAGGACCAAGTTCGTCTTCTTTATCAAAGATGGGGCCTAGACCATCGTCCAAGGGTCTCTTAGTGTCAAGACGTGGTCCTTGTTGTGGGTAGGAATTGCTCTTCCTCAAAATCCTGTGAAACTAGAATAAGACTACTCGGATTCTCTGGTTCAAAACAGGTTAGTCCATTAGTCTCTTCATTATCAAACATAAAATCATATTTTGGAGAATGAAGATTACATTCATCCTCACAAACGATAAAACTTGCCAGCAGCTATTCATCATAGTCATCAAAAATGGTTAAAGAATCTGAAAAATATTTTAAATCTTCAAGGTTGTTTTCAGATTTACCTTTGGGTTTTTCATTACTGAATAATGATAGTTCAGCTACAGGTGAACGTGTGGTTGTGCTCTTCTTGTGGCTCTTGCTTACATCTTTGAGTGCTTCCACCACTCCTGTTGGTGTCAAAATTGGTCACGACGAAATCAATGGCTAAAAGTCTCCGCAAAAATAAAATACGTTTTATAAAACACGAGAAGTTGTTTTATAAAAGTCTAAGGACTTTCCGAACAAAGGAAATCCGCAGAAAACTTGGAGATCTCCATCTCGGAAGAACGAACGAAACAATCGCCGATTACACGATTGTCCAAGTTAAGCGAAAAACCGCATCCGCCGTACGTCGAGCTGACCATCCCGAGCCTCGAACTTCCGCATCCTTGACGTAAGGCATACGTCCTTAGATTCGATCATGCTCTGAACCATGGTCGAAACGCCTCTCGTTTCGTCTCGATCCGTCTTACCGTTCAAGTTTTTCGATAAAAATCGTAAAAGTCTTCTTTTCTCATTAAGTTCGGGAAGATCGTATAAAACGGCAACGATTAGACGGAACATCGTACATTGTCAAACTATACGATTAACTCGAGAAATCTTTTAAAAGTGGCATTGTATCAGGAAACGATCTCGTCTAAAATCGTAAAATGGTTTTCTATCGCAAAATGGCTCGGACGGCCCAAAAGCGCGATAAAACCCCACTTGCGAATTTAAACGAAATCCAGCCCAAAGATACAATGAAGGTTTGACGATTTACTCGCAGGAAGAAGATAAATATCAAGTTTGAAGATAAATGTCAAGTTTGAATATAAATAGAAGATTTCCGCAAAGAAAATGGAAAGATCGAGATAAATGGAAGATTCCCGATAAACTCGAATATGGGCAAAAATGAAGGACTAAACTGCCTAGGGAGGGAGTATATAAGCAGAAGGACAAGGACAGAGCACAAGGACGAGTTTTCAGAGCTTTCACCACCAAAACTTAGCACTTAAGAATATTTCCGTTTTTGTTATCGAGCTGCGTCTCAACTAGGGTTTTAGTCTTGAATTGCTATAACTAGGAATCTCGCTGATGGCAGTTAACCGAACCATCGAGCTATTTCCTAATGAGCCGAATATGCTTTCTCATGGGTCTTGATAGAGAGATGCAATCCACCTCCCACATCACTGATGCCAACGGTACCTTGGTAAATAAGTTATCTTCTCTTTTTGGTTTGCTTCAAGTAACAACATCCCAAATGAACAATGGTTTCTACCTTTTTGAATCATCGGGAGACTTTGGAAATGTTGAAATCAATTAATAATCAATAATATTCCTTACTTTTTTGATGACGTTGTTTCTAAGGCTAGGATAGATGTGAAGGAATGGTTGGATGATGTCCATGTAAAAATATGGTATGTGGCTACACCTATATGTTCGAGTGTGATGTATTCATATGCAAGCATATATGAGCATAAAGTAAAAAGACACAGGGATTTGTTAACGAGGTTCGTTTCCTACATCCTCGGGACCACGTCTAGAACTCATTCACTAGAATAGAACACAAACAACGTTGCTTGGTATCCAGCACACACCCGTGCCTATCACTCTAATCTTGAATTACAATGATGAGAGCAACTACTACTTAATGTCTTCTCTTGACAAGCATAGTTTCTCTATAACAAAACTACCAGCAGATCTCTCCATCTGTCTGGTCGGACGACGTCACACACATCCATGTGCATCTTCAATAAACCCTAGATGCGCGATATCTTCCTATCATGCGTTGTTCTCTTTATACTCCAATGAACAAAACCCTAAACTCATTAAGCCCACTAATCCTTTCTCATTAGTTAGGCTTTCCTTAGAAATAAAGTCCTTGAAACCGACGTGATTCTTTTACTTTAATACATATTTCGTCGACCAAATATATGAGAATATTCTACTTTATCGTATCTTGATGTTTCCTTTTTATTCTCTCAAGTGTGTTCACACACCATTCTCTGTGTGTAACACAAGTACGCGAACCAAAGCTCCAACACTGTAGCAATCTATCAAGCTCCAAATTCTTGAGCTTACATTCTCTCCCTTTTTCACTAAAATTTAACAACTCAAGCTCAATAACCTTCAAACACACTATACATCTTAAACTCCCCCTGAATCAAATACCATCTCCCCTTGCTTGAATGGAAAAACTCTGTGAAAAACTTCATGATACTTGTTGGACCAGAATCAAAAGTCACCAGATCCACCTTTGACTCTAACATCAAAGAATCCATAAACTCCAACGCTCCTCTCGATATCTTCACATTGATTATCTCAATACAATCACGAACATGACTATTCTCATCCTCTTCAAATTTTCAGCTAGTCACAAATACCATATCCATAATCTACCCAAAATAAGATCCAATCTGATAAGAATCTCTAGCGGACACCTGCACTGATACCAATTGTAAAAACATGGTATGTGGCTAAACCTATATGTTCGAGTGTGATGTATTCGTATGCAAGCATATATGAGCATAAAGTAAAGAGACACAAAGATTTGTTAACGAGGTTCGTTTCCTGCATCCTTGGGACCATGTCCAGAATTCATTCACTAGAATAGAACACAAACAATGTTGCTTGGTATCCAGCACACACCCGTGCCTACCACTCTAATCTAGAATTACAATGATGAGAGCAACAACTACTTAATGTCTTCTCTTGACAAGCATAGTTTCTCTAAAACACAACTACCAACAGATCTCTCCATTTGTCTAGTAGGATGACATCACACACATCCATGTGCATCTTCAATAAATCCTAGACGCGTGATCTCTTCCTATCATGCGTTGTTCTCTTTATATTCCAATGATCAAACCCTAAACTCATTAAGCCCAGTAATCATTTCTCATTAGTTAGGCTTTCCTTAGCAATAAAGCTCTTGAATTCATGAAGTGCTTCTTTAGGAGTTAAACTTCCATTTGTCAATATTTCTAGAAAAAGAATCTCTTGTTTTTCATTCTCATTCTCATAGGAATGAATACTATGATTCGCGTTTTGAACGAACCCACGTGATTCTTTTACTTTAATACATATTTCGTCGACAAAATTTATGAGAATATTCTACTTTATCGTATCTTGATGATTCCTTTTTATTCTCTGAAGTGTGTGTCACACACCATTCTCTGTGTGTAACACAAGTACACGAACCAAAGCTCCAACACTGTAGCAATCTATCAAGCTCCAACACTGTAGCAATCTATCAAGCTCCAAATTCTTGAGCTTACATTCTCTCCCTTTTCCACTAAAATTTAACAACTCAAGCTCAATAACCTTCAAACACACTATACATCTTAAACTCCCCCTGAATCAAGTACCATCTCCCCTTGCTTGAATGGAAAACTCTGTGAAAAACTTCATGATACTTGTTGGACCAGAATCAAAAGTCACCAGATCCACCTTTGACTCTAACAGCAAAGAATCCATAAACTCCAACGCTCCTCTCGATATCTTCACATTGGTTATCTCAATACAATCACGAACATGACTATTCTCATCCTCTTCAAATTTTCAGCTAGCCACAAATACCAATATCCAGAATCTACCAGAAATAAGATCCAATCTGATATGAATCTCTAGCGGACACCTGCTCTGATACCAATTGTAAAAACATGGTATGTGGCTAAACCTATATGTTCGAGTGTGATGTATTCGTATGCAAGCATATATGAGCATAAAGTAAAGGGACACAGATATTTGTTAACGAGGTTTGTTTCCTACATCGTCGGGACCACGTCTAGAATTCATTCACTAGAATATAACACAAACAACATTGCTTGGTATCCAGCACACACCCGTGCCTACCACTTTAATCTAGAATTACAATGATGAGAGCAACAACTACTTAATATCTTCTCTTGACAAGCATAGTTTCTCTATAACACAACTACCAACAGATCTCTCCATTTGTATGGTAGGATGACATCACACACATCCATGTGCATCTTCAATAAACCCTAGACGCGTGATCTCTTCTTATCATGTGTTGTTCTCTTTATACTCCATTGAGCAAACCCTAAACTCATTAAGCCCACTAATCCTTTCTCATTATTTAGGTTTTCCTTAGCAATAAAGTCCTTGAAACCCACGTGATTCTCTTACTTTAGTACATATTTCGTCAGCCAAATATATGAGAGTATTCTACTTTATCGTATCTTGATGATTCCTTTTTATTTCCTGAAGTGTGTGTCACACACCGTTTTATGTGTGTACCACAAGTACGCGAACCAAAGCTCCAACACTGTAGCAATCTATCAAGCTCCTACAGTCCCTTCCTCAACAATTCTAATTCCTACAATTTTGTCTCCTGCAGTGGTTTTGTATTCCACGGTCAACCATATAGGTACTCAATGGAAACCTCGTCCTTCAGAATAGATTAAATGTAACTACGACACTGCACAAGATCATTCAGAAGTTTATGGCATGGGTTAGATTATATGTAACCATCACGTCACCCTCCTCGTAGTAGGACAAGGGAATTTTGAAGGACGATCAAAATTTATGGAGTCAGAGCTATCAGCCCTTATCTGGTCTATGCAAGCATGTTCCTCATTGGGTAATCAGAATGTAATTGTTGAAGGGGAAAACATCTCTATCCATAAGTACATTAATCAAGAAGCTTTTAGTCCTCGATTGCAACATCTAGTATCAACAGTGAGGGTGGAAGTCGAGTTTCATTCACTAAATTTCGTTCATGGTAAACAACGTAATAATCGTTGTGCATATTGATTAGCTCATAAAGCTATTGTTTCAAATGAGATGAAACAATGTCGTTTTCAAATGAGTTGACTTTTTTTTGTTTATTAAGCAACTTAATATTGACTGGTCATATCAGCACAACGTTAAGTGAAATGACATCGTTTTCAAATGAGATGAAACGACGTCGTTTTACTTGAATTTGAAAATAAAAACATGTACACCCGCGGATTTGAACCCGGGTTGATTGAGTCAATGCCAAGGCGTTTTATCATTGGGCTAGTGGCACTTTCAATGTAGCTATTGTTAGCTCATAAAGCTATTGTTTCAAACGAGATGAAAGGACGTCGTTTTCAAATGAGTTGATTTTTTTTTGTTTATTAAGAAACTAAATATTGACTGGTCATATCAGCACAACGTTAAGTGAAACGACATCGTTTTCAAATGAGATGAAACGAAACGACGTTGTTTTACATGAATTTGAAAATAAAAAAATGTACACCCGCGGATTCAAACCCGGGTTGATTGAGTCAATGCCAATACGTTTTACCACTGAGCTAGTGGAACTTTCAATGTAATTACTAACACATTTAATTTTATTTGGTACTGATTGAATATCAAAAATTGTCTAAAACTTAAAAAGATCTTTAAAATTCCAAAAAGTTAAAGCAATAAAATTTTTTTTTATAAAATTAATTTTGAAATTAAAATAAAAAGTAAAATTTTATTTTTTCTTTAAGAAAATCAAACGTCTTCCAAAATTTTCAAGACTATATACCACGTATGGAGAAAAATAACTATCAATGAATGAGAAAACTAAGACTATATACCACGTATGTATCAAGACGATCTTATTCTGCAACAGTTTTCTTTTACAAAGGTACAAACCTAAGTTTATCCGAGTTTGCAAACAAAAAATTTAACATGACTTTTTTTACATGTCAGTCAAAACAAAATTTTATAGAAAAGCATCATCTAACAAATTTCCATTGTATATATAACACTTAGTATTTACATCACTTTATATATCATACAACTCATATTAAAAGTTATAAATATGGATGGACGTTACATGAGAAATGGATGGATGTTAAAAATATCAAATTCGACAAATATATCTTTTTTGTTCAAATTCGACGTATATTTCTGCTTATCTTGCTTTGGTCTTAGCTGTTGTTAGATGTTCTCTTTAGACTTGCATTTTGCTATTAATTTTTGAAATATATATATATATATATATATTTATTTATTTATTTATTTTTTATAATGGGCTTTTAAAATATATGTATATCTATATATATATATTTATATATATATATCAAAAATTAATAGCAAAATGCAAGTCTAACATGCACGTGAGCAATGGACCAACAAAGCTACAAAGCCTACCTACAAAGCCATGTGAGTGTGGCGAGTGAAGTAATGATTAAAAAATGAAACATCTTATGATTTTATTGTGTGTTCAAATCGTATTTGGTAAGAATGAATATTTTAAGTTGGAAATGTAAGGCTGGTAATTTCCACACGCTGAGATAGTAAACAAAAATCATATGGGATTCTACTCCATCGGGTGACTGACTCTTTGATGTTTCCATTAAGTACTATATGTTGTTGGATACTACCATTTGTGTGAAAGGTGAAGAAATATAAGAGATGCGAAGTACTTTAAACATTTTGACACACAATCTTTTAAAATTATAGATAAATTTGGGAACTGGAAACTGTAGTTTATTTGGAAAATAAAATATCAAACTAGAAACAAATTCACAACATTTTTTTAATAAAACAAAGTCTTAGTAAATTAACAATATTAACCTATAAATTATACCATTATATTTTAGAAATTAATTTGAAATCCAGAAATAGTAGTAAAATTCAGAAATAAAATCCACAGGCAGAAATGATATTGAAAGAAAATAAAATTTTTCTATAAACAGAAAGAAGTAGTAACAATTGTTTTTATCTTTAAAATGGAGTAGTAAGAAGTGAACAAGAAACAAGTCAATTTTTATTGTTATCGTTTCCCCCACTAGTCTTTAGTCGATCTAAATACATCTCCCATACTCTCTCCATCATTGCCAAAAATCCCCAAAGAACCTCAGATTAGGGTTTCTCTTTCAGTAATTGATCTGCAATTACCTACTTCGAATTCTCGAGTAGCCATGGAGAATCAGCAGAAGCAACTCCAGCGAGGCGCTTCGGCTCGTGGCGAAGAGAGTTCGGTCAGAGGGATCGATCTTATGAGAGTTGATCAATGCGAGGAGATCAGTGTAAGCCAAGCTCATACTCTCTCGACGGTGGGAGGAACGATTGAGCAAGAAGAGGCCCCTGTAAAGCGAAAACGAGGTCGGCCTCCGAAAGCACGTGCTAAGACGCCGTTACAAACTCAGCCACCTCCGCCGCAGAAGGATGATAAGGATGAAGATGTTTGTTTTATCTGCTTTGACGGCGGAGACCTTGTTCTCTGTGATCGCCGGTGAGTTGTTGCCAATTTTACAGTGACGATTGTGTCAGATAGTATGCATTGTTTAAGATTAGAGACTTGGATAATGAGTTTAACAAAGAAGAAGAGGTTTAGTTAGTTACTTAATTGGGTTTTCTCTATGGTATATGTTCAAGATTTAGTTACTATTTTTGATTACATGCTGGTTAATGCCGTTAATTCATTAGATTCAATTCAATTGGTAAAGAAGCAACGAAGCAGCTTTTTTGGAGGTTTTGGATACGAGATTGTGTTTATTGATAACTTATTGATGTTCAGGAACTGCCCCAAGGCATACCATCCTGCTTGTATTAACAGAGACGAGGCTTTCTTTCGAACAACAGCTAAATGGAACTGCGGTATGTGGGCATACTCCATCTTATTACCGTTCTTGTATTTGCTGTCAGCAATCTAGGGGAGTGGATATTTCTGACAGTTCAAATGGCATTGTGAACGTCCTTACGGGAAACTGATATTTCCTTCATTTATTTTAGGTTGGCACATATGCAGTTCATGCCAGAAACCTTCCACTTACATGTGTTATACATGCACTTTTTCTGTTTGTAAGCGGTGCATTCCAGATGCCGACTATGTGTTTGTGAGAGGTAACATGGGGCTTTGTGGCACATGTATTAAGCCCATTATGTTGATTGAGAATATTTCTCATGGAGATAACGCAGCGGTAAGACATTCTTCCACAATCCATACTTTTCCATTCAATGTTTTTCCAGGCCATGTACTATTACCACCCTCCACATTTAGCTTTTTGTTGATTGGAGTTGTTTATGCCCTTTCTTCTCTTTTGGTTGTTCTTTATCAAGAAACCAAGGGTTTCTATTCATTTTCACACAATTAAAATCCCTCAGTCTTGTCATGCACAAAACGATAGTTAATTTTATAGCAATTAATCACAAGCTAAAATGGAATTTTAGAGATTTCGGGTTGATTGATTAGGGTTCATATATTACGAGAGTACTTAGGGACTGATGGAATTTTAGAGATTTAGGGTTTAGTATTTAATAAGTTCTTTCAAGAGCAGTAGGATATGTTGGGTGGGTTTTTGAAACCCAAGGAAAAGAATCACGTCTCTTGGTTAGGGAGGAAATCTTGTACTTCCTTAGTTCTATAAGAGTGTTTAGTGTTTTTCTTTTTATATTGTCCTCTTAACTCTATTATAATCTGCGCGGGTCATAATTGTTTTCCTTGTTTTTTTAGGTTAAAGTGGATTTTGATGACAAGCTCAGTTGGGAGTATCTGTTCAAGGTATATTGGCTATGCCTGAAAGAAGAGCTGTCTCTAACTGTCGACGAGCTTATTAGAGCAAATAATCCTTGGAAGTATGTTCCCTACACTCCTAAAGTGGAGTCAAGGAATGAGCATACCCTTCACAATGCTTATTCCTCATGCAATTCAGCTTTAGATCTAGCAGAGAATGAAACAAAAAGAAGAAGGACTAGTGATTCCCCCACCTTACCTAGCACGTTGGATGCCCAAATTCCAAGTAGTACCCTAAAGAAGCTTCCTGGAGACACAAATTGGGCAACAAAAGAACTCCTCGAGTTTTTGTCATTCATGAGAAATGGCGATACATCGGTTATTTCTCAGGTCGACGTACATGGTCTTCTGCTTGAGTATATCAAGCAAAAAAATCTAAGGGATCCTCAGCTGAAGTCTCAAGTTATCTGTGACCTAATGCTTGTGAAGTTGTTTGGAAAACAGCGAGTGGGTCACCTTGAAATGCTTAAGCTTCTTGAGTCTCACTTTCTTATTCGAGAGAAACCGAAAGATGAGAAAACCACAAACGAGGAAATTACTCATGCCGTTCCTAGCCAAATAGAGAAGGATAATGTTCACTATCCACCGGTAAGGGATAGAAGACGAAAGATGCGTAGAAAAGCTGATGGCAGAGTACAAAACGAAAATCAACCTGATGCATATGCAGCTATTGATGTTCACAATATCAACCTGATTTATTTGAGACGTAAATTTTTAGAGACTCTACTTGATGATATCAACAAGGTTCAAGAAAAGGTGGTTGGCTCAATTTTGAGAATTAGGGTAACTGGCAGCGACCAGATGCTGGATATTCACAGGCTCGTTCAAGTTGTAGGTACTACTTGATCAGTGTTTATATTAAGAAAGGAAATTGGGAAATTAGTGACCCAAAGTTTTAAAAGTAAGATTTCAGCTACTTTTGTACTTATTTAACAGGTACAAGCAAGGCAGCAGCATCCTACCAACTTGGCACAAAGACTACAAATGTGATGCTAGAGATACAAAATTTAGACAAGAGAGAAGTCATCTCGATTGATCAATTATCAGACCAGAATGTCACAGAGGTAATACAGTCCTCTCTGAAATATTGTTTTATCTACCATTATATGCTCGTGAGCAAAAACTTAAAACCCCATCTGTTAATGTGCTAGTAATTATGTTTCATTTTTCTACCTGTTATATACTTATAAGTGTGATTTTCAGGACGAATGCAAACGGCTGCGCCAGAGCATAAAATGTGGCCTCAATAAACGTTTGACTGTGGTAAGAACGCGGTCATGATATCTTCTCGTCCTGAGCTATATTTTTATCTAAGTTGGAAACATATTTATTCCTTCTTTTCTTTTGCGGTATCAGGGTGACATATTGAAGACGGCAGCAACACTGCAAGCCTTGAGAATCAATGAAGTAGGTTACTTAAAAAAAACAAATATTCGTATGAATAGTTGTTTTTTCCCCGGATCATCTTTATTTTGCTGTGCTTCTTATTGAAGTTTATCGCTGTAGGCTCTGGAAGCTGAGATATTAAAGGTCAAAAACCTCCTTGATCGGGCCAGTGAGAATGGTCATCGAAAGGAATATCCTTTTTGAGATTGCCCTACTATATTTGTTGCACTGTGGTTACACTATTTCCTTTGCAGATATTGGTTATAGAATATTTCAAGTCGTAATTCCTTATAGAGTCGACCATGCCACACGTAATAATTGACAAGTATGGCGGTCTTCCCAGTTAGATGTTTGGTTTGCGTTTAAATGTGAAACACACTTTCACACTGAGTGATTGCATGGAAAGTTTAAGTCTTGATTTCTTAACCATCTCCTACGCTCAGAGACTGTGTAGAAAAGCTAGGGCATCTAGAATCACCCGAGGAACGCCAGCGGCTTCTGCAGGAAATCCCAGAAGTTCATACGGATCCAAGCATGGATCCGAGTCATCCATCAGCAGAAGATGCAGTGTTGGGTACGAGGAAACAAGGTCTCCACCTTAATCTAGGATGTGAAAAAAGCTACTTGCTCATTATCTTACGAAAATTCCGGACTGGTGGATGCTGTTAACAATCCTCTACGTTGTCTATTTGCAGATAATCACGTAAAGGCACAAAGTAAAAGTCCGAAGAAAGTAGGGAATATCATGAACAACTTGGGAAATAATGCTCAGACAAAATATGATGCTCCAGTTTTGCGAAGCAAAAATGCGGTGCATGCTACTAAGAAAGATGATTGTTCCAAGGTCTACAACAACTCATCAGATATCCAGGTACTAATCTGTTCGCAGTGTAACCTCTCATATGTTTTTTTTGGTTATGGTTTGAAGTCATATATATTCATTTATGAGTACGACAGGAAAGTGGTAAAGATGATGAGGAAAGTGAAATATGGCATTATCGAGATCCAACCGGAAAAACCCAGGGACCGTTTTCTATGGTGCAGCTCCGCAGATGGAAATCTTGTGGTCATTTCCCCCATTATCTTAGGATATGGAAAGCGAATGAGAACCAAGACGAGTCTGTACTTTTGACTGACGCTCTTGCCGGACGGTTTGATAAAGCAACTACTTCGTTAAATTCCTCTTTACTTACCCAAGAACTAAAACCGTCTCCGGATAACTCTGGACGCAGTGGCGTGGATAGGAACTGTCTTCAGAAGAACCTTACGCCAGTCAGCACCAATGCAACCTCCTCTTCGTCCTCAACTGTCAGTGCCCTTTCTAACGATCAAAAAGAGAAAAAAGTTGTGACTCTTGTACCTTGCTCTGGAAAAGTTGGAGATGATAATTCTGTTCTCCCCCGGCCTCAGGTTAGTTGTCCAACATCGATGTCTGTGGTTCCAGGACATGTGGTTACTCCTGACGTAAGAGAAACTTCAGGAACTGACAAATCCAGTGCTGTGCCGGCAGATGGTAAGACTGTAGAAGATGGAACAAATGGCTGTTCTGTTCATGTCCCAAACCTTAATCAAGAAATCCATTTCCCTGATATCACTAGTCCTACACCTAAGTCGAGCCCCGAAGACTTGGAAGCTCAAGCGGCAGAGACTATTCAGTCTCTGTCTTCAGGTGTCACATGGAGCTCCATCACCACAACTACCACTGATGCTGCTACCACCACTTCGAGTGTTGTGGTCACTGGAGGACAACTTCCTCAAGTAACACATCAGAATGCTGTTGTTTCAGCTGCAACGTCTGTGAAGCCAGTTGATTTAGCAGATGATCATGCCACAGCTACTCAGACTTCCGACGACACCCAAGTGGCTCATTCATCTGGGTGGCCGGCCATTGTGGCAGATCCGGACGAGTGTGATGAATCAGTTTCGGATCTATTAGCCGAAGTTGAAGCAATGGAGCAGAACGGTTTGCCTTCTTCACCCACCTCAACGTTTCACTATGACGACGATGATTTGACAAAAGGGCCAGAAAAAGATTTCTTTAACCCTGTGGCACGCATGTCCCTCACACCTGAAACATGCAGAATGAATATCTCTCAGCCGAGTATCCTTGACAATCTCTCTGCGGGGAAAAGCACAATGTGCACAGATTCAAAAGACAACACTCTTTTCAACCACTGTGGTACCGCCAGTCCAGAGCTCCTGCTCTTTGCACCGCCCTCTACAGTTCGTCAGGACCTGACTCTGACGACAACAGCTCTCAGACTGGGATCAGAAACCACAGTTGAAGCTGGATCGGTCGGGAGGCTTCCCAAGTCTGTTTCGGGAGTTGGAATGGAACCGAGCCCCAGGTCATCATCGTTACGTGACTCACCTCGTGGAAACACGGAGCGTAGTCCACGTGGAAATGGAAGCCAGCAAAGGAGATCCGGTGGGCACAGCAGAGACCGGCAATGGTGGAACAATGGTCACAACAGTAGCGTCAACAACAGTCATAATAATCGGCAATGGCCATACAGTAGTAGCCATGGGTATGACCATGGATCAGGTTCATACACAGCTCATCCGCCCAAAGGGCTGAAGATATGTAAATTCTATGAGAGTGGAAACTGCAAAAAGGGTGCTTCTTGTAGCTTTTGGCACCCCTGATTCTCATCTTTTTATATTGTGTTTATTTGTTTAGTTAGTAACATCTTGAACATCCTCTTTTGTAAAACTTTATGTAACTCAGTAGCCGCATGTTTAAGTAATTACTAGATCATGAACCGCCCATGCGAATTTTTTTTGGATGTACTTTATATAATTTTGTTTTATATAGTTTCAAATTTGTCCAATTCGATTTTATGTTTAAAGAACAATATCAAAACTATTTTTTTATTAATAGCGTTAAGCAGTGTATTATGTAGATGTAATCGTGCAGTGACAATATTAATTCAGTATGTTTGTTCAAAGTGCAAAATCAAATTCAAAGTTAACTGTTTGCATTAAAAAAAATAAGTTGAGAGTTTAATTATTTCTGATGTTAATAATTATCCAAATTTTTAAAATAATATACAAATTTCTAAAAATTTTGGCCTTGACCTTTATTTTGTATATTAGGTCAAATCTTATATATTAAAACAGAAGTCATTACTTGATTTCATGTATGATTTTTTTAAAAATGGACTATTACTAGAAATTTATGTTACATTAACTCTCTAATAATCTTATCATTATTATATCTTATGAAAAATTATATCTATAATAACAAAGATGCGCTTAACAATTTGGTTTTGGTAAATTACTCCACACCTTCCAACTTAGTCACGCAAAATATGTCAATAGATATATGTTTAGAAATATTCTATTATTTATAAGGAAATATGTCAATAATAGTTAAATGCATCCACAATATATTAACAAAAATCACATATTAGTAATATGGAATATTTCTATTCCCTAACAAAATTTACACGCTATATATATTAGATAAATTTATTTCGATATAAATTTTTAAAATTATATTGTTTTAAAAAAAGAAATTGTTTAAAAAATTCTTTTTACTAAAATTCTTTATAATATTAATTTATGAATTTATAAGTTTACTTTTTAGCAAAATTTCTTCGAAGTTTATATTATCTTTGCAAATTAAAGTATATTAAGATTTAATCAAGCTCTATTTATAGAAGAAGAAACAAACACATGTTTAAAAAACATGTATAATATAGAAAATTTGAAACAATCTATTTGATTAAAACACTTATTATATAATATTATAATGTTTGAAAAACATTTACTATACATATCGTAAATATGTGATTACTATAATATATACCAATTTACAAGTGAAAACAAAATGTTTATATAACTAACTATAAACGAAAACAAACACCCGCGCGGTTGCGCGGGTCAAAATCTAGTTCATACTTAATTTTGGTCTTAACTTTACAAGCACATATATTTTATGATGAAAATATCATAAATAACTTAACAAATATTTTGGTAATTTCAAATCATTTATGTATTTAAAATATTTTTTTCAAAAACCAGGATTTTTAAATTTAACCCGGACCGTGGTTCGGTGATCCAATAATTCAATTTTTACTTTTAAAAATATTCATATTTAAAAAAATCACTAAAACCCTAAAATAACAAATTAAACCGATGGATAACTGATATATAATATTTAAACCTGTAAAATAAGTTTATTTTCATTGTTTTATATATTATTGAATTTTTGTAATTTATCTAAATAATTTTGAAAGAAAATTGTGAAAAAAATATTTAAAAAGGTGAGAATTAATATTTTGTATTGTTTGGACATAAGATTAATGATAGTGTTATTTAGAAACATGGATGGTAGTATAAAGAAATGAGTATATTGTTTAGAAACATAGATAATAAATAGTATAAAGAAATAAATATATTGTTTGGAAACATGGATAGAAATTTTAAGAAAAGAATATTAATAATTTAATATATATTTAATTATAAAGTGAAAGGATGTATTTATTTTAAAAAAATTACAAAATAAATGTTAGGTACAACCTAATGTTTCTGTTTTAATAAGATAGATTAAATCTTCTTTATATAACTTCCATTTAAAAGTTTTTGTAACTTATAAAACTTCCATTCAATTCATTTCTATTTTTACCCGCATTTTAAATTCCTTTCTATTTTAACTTCCACTATAATAAAGTTCTTGCCCGCATTTTCTATGGAATTCCATTTAAAATTTTTTGCCACTTACATAATTTCCATTTCAATTATTTTCTATTTTTACTTGTATAATATCATTTATAGGTAAATTTACTCTAACTTATTCCTATTTCTTTTTTAAATAATAGTTACTGTTTTTTCTCTATTTATAAAAGAAAAATAGCAATCTCTATTTTTTATTCTATACTAGGTGTAGATCCATACCTTGCATGGGGTGAGATTTTGGTGACATTAATATAGGGGATAACGGTCAATTCATACATCAACAGGAGATCGCGGTTCCCCCGATCAGTACATAAACTCACACGCTGTGCTAAAACATACATTAACTCAAATTATATTCAAATTTTATACGGCATCCAAAATTTTTCGGTAAATTTATACATTGACCGTGTCTCCCTTAGTCAAATGTTAATGGAATCTTACATGGGCTTAACGGATGATGACGTGGATTTACAAGCCCAAAACGGCATCGTTTTATCAAAAACAAATTCACTCCAATTTGGTTTAGAGGAGAAGAATTCGAACTTGGGTTTCCAAGATAACTCAACCCTTATTCGACCACTCTCCCGTATATGCATATTTGGTTTGATGCATCATATATACATATTTAGCATTCATCAGTTCCGGGTTCCCCACAAAATATTTTTGCCATTTGGTGTAGAAGGGGCTTTGAACCTGTGTTACCCACAATACCCCATCACCCATTTGATCACTCTGCCATGTATGATTTATAGGTTTAATACATCATATATATATATATATATATATACATATATTAGGTTTGGTAAGAATTGCTCAAATGTTTTGTAAAAAGCAAAAGAATTTCTCAAATGTTAAATTTTAGGAAATTGAAAGTTTCAATTTGTTTATATATTCTAATTCAAATAATTTCTATTTAAATTTATAACCCGGGTTCGAATCCTCCTCTAAACTAAATGAAAACAATTTTTTTGGGAATCTGTGTAAGTCAATGTGTTTCCTTTGAATAGTTACGTGTATTGATATCAACATATATAGTACAAGGAGTTGAGTGATTCTAGGGATCATCACATATCTAAACAGAATATACTAGGAATAATATCTATGCTATACAAATGATACTTATCCGCTAATACCCTCCCGCAGTTGCAGCGTGGGCTCTGTCACACCAAGACTGGACCGAAAGCCACAGAAGAGAGAAGAAAGTAAGCCTTTGGTGAAGATGTCTGCATATTGAAGGCTGGATGGAATGTGATGAACTCTAACTTGGCCCATTAGCACTTTCTCTCGAACAAAATGGATGTCAATCTCTATGTGTTTAGTTCGTTGATGTTGAACAGGGTTGCTCGAGAGATACACGGCGCTAACATTGTCACAGTAGACGACGGTTGAGTGTTGCAGAGGTCTATCCATTTCGAGAAGTAAGTTACGAAGCCAACATGACTCAGCAACAGCATTCGCCACTCCTTTGTACTCAGCTTCGGCACTGGATCGTGATACGGTGGGCTGACGTTTGGCGGACCAAGAGATGAGGTTGTCACCGAGGTAAAGACAGAACCCTGAAGTCGATCGGCGTGTAGAGGGACACCCTGCCCAGTCAGCGTCGGTGTACGCAGTGAGCTTCATGTTCTGTTTCTTGAGAAGTTTCAGACCCATTTGTTTGGTGCCTTTGAGATAACGGATGACACGGCGCAAGGCAACAAGATGAGGCTCGCGAGGATCGTGCATAAACAAGCAAAGTTGTTGGACCGCGTAAGTGATGTCAGGCCTGGTGAAGGTCAAATACTGCAATGCCCCTGCTAAGCTTCTATACGCCGTAGGATCTGTGAGGGGCTTGCCATCATCGTCTGCAAGCTTGGACTTAAGATCCACCGGAGTTGTGCAAGGTTTGCACTCAGCCATACCTGCACGTTTGATGATGTCTTCGGCGTATTTGGATTGATTCAAGAAGATGCCTTTGTTGTTGAACTTCACGGATATGCCTAGAAAAGAACTGATGGTGCCCAAGTCTTTCATTGGAAACTCAGACTTCAGGACATTGATGATCGTGTCGCGAAGTGAAGTTGTGGAGGCAGTCACAATGATGGCATCGACATAGAGGATTAGATACGCCGTTTGTCCATTTTTCTTGTAGATGAATAGACTTGTATCTGATTTGCATTGTGAGAATCCTTTGGAGGTAATAAAGTTGACAAACCTTGCATTCCACGCTCGAGGAGCTTGTTTTAAACCGTAGATGGAGCGATTCAACTTGCAAACATGAGTGGGTTTTGATTTGTCAACAAAGCCAGGGGGTTGAAACATGTAGACATCTTCGTCCAAGGTGCCATGGAGAAAGGCATTTTGCACGTCAAGCTGGTTTACCTGCCAATTATTAGTCAAAGCAACATGTAAGACAGTGCGTATAGTGACCGGTTTGACCACTGGACTGAACGTTTCATCGAAGTCAACTCCCTGTTCCTGAGATCTTCCATTTGCGACCAAGCAAGATTTGTGATCCGTAAAGTTTCCCTCTGCATCATACTTATGCTTATAAAGCCACATACAACGCACAATGTTAGTGTTAGGTGGCCGAGGCACTAAATCAAAAGTCTTGTTTTTAATAAAAGCATCGTACTCAAGATGCATGGACGGGTTCCAATTTGGATCATCGAGTGCTTGAAGGTGGCCTTTGGGAAGTGGAGATTGTGTTTGAGTGTGAAGTGAGAAAATGTGTTTAGGTTTTGAAATCCCATGCTTAGAACGAGTAATCATGGGGTGCCTAGGTTCCTCTCGTACCACTTGGGATGGGAGAGTTGGCGCCTCAGGTGGAGGAACTGCATCCTTTGTAGGCGGGATTGCAGGAGGCTGAATTAAGATCTGGCGAAACAGAGGGGAAGGTTCGACGTCCGCGGAAAGAAAGTCATACGTTGATTCTTTTTGGCGAGTAGAATCTGCGTAAGGAAAGATGCTTTCGTCGAAATTTACATTGCGTGAAATGATGATCTTCTTTGTTGATAACTCGAAGCATCTATACCCTATGTGGTTTGCTGGATAACCTAGAAATAGACACTTAGAAGAACGAGGAGAAAGCTTTTTGAGGTGAGAGTGATTTATGTTAGGATAACATAGACAGCCAAAAACTTTTAAGTGAGAATAGGAGACAGGTT